AAAAGAAGCCATGCACGACAATGGTGGATACGGACGCTGAGATGAACCTCATGAAGGAGTGGGATGAAAATCGATCACTCTGATAATGAAGTTCTTATTCGAGCGAATAGTAAGTAAGTGTTTGTACGAACCGCGTCCAGCGTGGTCGTGAAGATTGGGAAGGTAAAGGAGAGGAGTTGTTTATTTGTAATGTCATATTTAGACCATCCTATCCTACTGGGCCGATCTTTCCTGAGTAGAACGGAGTCCTACATTCTCAGCAAGCATGATGAGATGATATTCTTTGTATCGTGTGACCCTGTATGTGGCAATTATGAGGTGGTCACATACAAGAATACGGGATCTCGAAGTGTAAGGAATCAGCCCAACCCTAACTCTTTTATAATTAAGGAGTCAGAAGAGGAAAGGAGGAGATTCAAAAGAGAAGAATTAAGAGGAGAGAAACAATCAGAAGCATTGTCCCTAAGTTTAGCCAACATAGGCGATGCTATGGAAATAATATCCACCTATGAGATGACGGGTCCAGGGGCAGTAGAAGCCCTAACGGAAAAGGTGATGAAACAAATGGGAGAAGGGGAGACAACGTTGGTATATCGTCTGCCTAGAAGAATAGGAGGACCAACAAGAGTTCATCCCCAAAGTTCAGTTCTTGTGCTCGTGACTGATGAGAAAAAAATTACTACGAGCGGAAACGAGAGCTGATGTGGAAGATGTGAGAGAGAGCAGATAATAGGCCATACTGTATCAACGAAGAGATTAAAAAGACGTTGATTATAGGAGAGTCTGATGTTCTTACAGCGCAGGAGAAAAAATTGATAGTGAAGACTATAAGAGGAAGACCTCCTGCATATGTCTTCAATTATGATGATCGCGGACGTCTTGATGTTGATAATATTTTGATGATTCAGATTCATACCGTGCCGCATGAACCACGAAATTTGCGAGGTGCACGATATCCCAGTCCGGTTGATGAAGAAAAAGTAGTGGAATACCTTGATGGACAAATTCGCACACATGTATCAGATTACTCGAGTGAGTCGTATGCATCCCCCTGGTTTTGCTTTGTCAAGCCAAATGAGACTTTACGATGGGTACATGTGGTCTACTGAATGCTGATGCACTTTCGAAAGCCTGTGCATGACGATCTGTACTACCACTTATAAATATTTATTCTGGTTATAACCAGTTTCTTGTATACCCATCAGATAGACCTACGGCGGTCATGCATACACCTTGGGGACTGATTCACATAAATGTTGCACCACAAGGGTGGACCAATGCAGTCGTCATGGTTCAAAGGCATATGGTAAGGGCTATGCAAACAATAAGTTATCACATTACACAACCTTAAATTGATGATCTGGTTATGAAAGGATCAAAGGAGAAGGATGAGTAGGAGGTTATGCGAAAAGTTCGACGTTTTGTCTGAGATCGTGTGCAAGACTTATGCAAGGTCCTCGATTTGTTAAAGAAACATAAGCTTTCTATAAGTGGTTTGAAGTTCAGGCATTGTATGCGCAGAGCGACTATCTTAAGGTTTGTGTGCGACAAAATGGGTCGTCGGCCAGACACTAAGAAGACCAACAAGATTCTCGAGTGACCGACGTCATTTGAGGCAATCACAGAAGTAAGAAGCTTCTTAGGAACGTGTGAATTTTTGAGGGCCTTCATTAAAGGGGTTGCCTCCAAAATGGAACAGTTATGAAAACTCGTACACCAGGGTTAAAAATGAGAGTGGGAGGACAAGCAAGACCTAAAGAAAAAATTTCAGGAATGAGGTCTAGTACTAGGATTAGCAGACCATGCCGCCACTTTAACAAGGCGTTTTATTGTGGAGACAGATGTGGGGCCAACTGCCTTAGGAAGAGTATTGATCCAAAAAAACTGCAAAGGAGAAGAACGATCGCTGAGATTTAAAAGTCGAACGCTTAACTCAATGGAGAGGAACTATTCCGAGTTTAAGCACGAAACGTTAACAGTTTTTCACTACTTGTGAATTTTGAGAAACTACCTCTTTGGCAGGAGGTTCGTGTTGAGGATAGACCAAACTGCTCTCGCAAGTTCACTCAAGAATTACGTTCCTTCAGATTAAACTATTGTCATATGGTTAACATACATTCGGATACTCGACTTCGAGTTCGAGCGTATTTAAAGGAACAAAACTAAAGCTGACGGGTTGAGTCTCATCGACTAAGATAAGTGTAGTGAAGGAGTAGTCGAAGACATTTCGCCAGTCGACGACTTTTTTGATAGAGAAGAGGATGTAAAACTTCACATAAACTCTTGGTGTTTGACCGTGTATAAGCATATTACTCTTGACGATCTGTATGGCTTGCACCTTCAGGTCATGTACGACGACCAAACATAGTCCTCAAACCTTATGTTGAAGAAGATTCTTGACGTATGCTAAGAGTGGAATGGATGATGGAGTTGGCACTGGCGGATAGGTACGTGGTAGAAACGGAGTCGACTACTATCAAAAATGGAGCCCTGCAGGTGAAGAAACATAAAAAGTTTGTAGGTTGAGTGTATCTGTTGACAAACTCCCTACTTCAGGATGATGTCTCCAGGATTGAGGAAGAGAGACAAAACATAGAAGAAAATGTGAAAGAATGACGATTTTGAGGAAGGATAAATAAATTAGGCATTTCGCGCGGAAAAATATGGCGGAGTATATCTCGAACTGAGAATGTTTCTTTCGTGGGAATTGAAAGAAAAAGATGTTAGTGAGAAAGTCCTCAAAATGCAGTCATAATTCTTAGTAAAGAAGGGTAAGAAGAGGAATCTGAGAAGGGTAGTATGCGACATCGCTCGACAGATAAATGTCATAGTTGCCCTGCATGATGGGAAAGTAGGAGGGCATAGAAGTACAAATGCGACATACCTAAAGATGCACAAACTATATTATTGGGATATCATGTGGCAGATGATTGACAAGTACTGTAAATCTTGTGTACCATGCCATGAGCAGTCGTCTCTTAGATTTAGAGAACCGCTCCACCCGAGCAGGATATCCTCCACACTTTGATTGCGACACCATACAACCCTCATTCGCCGAACTAGCATGCCTTTCCAACTTTGCTGGATGTCCAATCCATCAATTACATGTGTACACAGTTGACGAACTCTAGCCTTCGGCCGCCTATAACTATATATAACTCTGGCGAGCCTTGAGTTATATTGCCTTTACTGGCCAACATTGCTTTGCACGGAATGGAGAATGCTTTGAATGAGTGGGCTCAGCAACAGGTGGCCGAAGGTCAAGTTATCCTGGTAAGATACGCCGATGATTTCGTTGTTCTTCACAAGGCTCGAAGAGTTGTTTAGGGCGCTCAAGGGTTCCTTACACACCCCTTCATCGTAGATCACCCGAATCACAATCCGCTTTGTCACATGTATATCAAACCTCGACAAAATGTGATGAGACAATAGACACCTTAACCTAAATTTGGATCTCTTTTCGTTAAACGTACGTACGGCCGTGTAAGCCGCTATCAGACCTGCAAAGTCCTAAGATTGAAGGTCAACCCTTGTCGCTTGCTGACTCAAAAACTTCGCAAGCGGTGCCTTCAAGTCCAGGGAACGACTGAGAAAGGGTATGATGGGATTAATAGTTAACGTTACCCCACCTTTTAACCATCCTCGATAGTATCTCATCTCCTGCTTGCCAAATTCGCATTCAAACTATCTCCATACAGTCTCCTCAAAAACTTCCATCGATCAACAATTCAAGCACCACTCGAACAGTGTATGACCACACTCAATATCCCTCGTTCATTATATCTTTTCAATAATTTCAAAAGGCTAACCGGGTCGTCGCCATGACTAGACCGAAAAACACAAACATATCCTCCATAATCACATCCCACATGTCTCTCGCTCTGTACATTATTCCGTTTCTTTCTCAATCTCTCTTTCAGCCCGACCCGACATTTTTTAGAACGCTTTGGCTTGTCACGAACGTTCAATGCGGAACACAACAAACGAATAAAAAATTGTTATGTTTCCAACAAATCCTCCTTTGAACAGCAACACAAAGGGATAACCGCATACGAGTGAGTCCCACAACGACGTAACCACCTATACAACTTCTTATTTCTTCTTCCCCCTTCAATCACTTTCCTCTGACCCGCCCTATAGACATGCTCCTTCCAACGACAATGAGCCTCACGTTGCGTGCTTCCCACATATATACTGATGCCTAGAGGAGACCAATACGTAAACCACCGGCCCTTGCCACTCATCCAACTTATCCCTTCGACACTTAACCATCAAAGGTAGGAAAAACCTAATTAATTTAACGCGCGAGGGAATCTCACCAAAGAGAATTAACCTACAAACAACGATGGTCAACAACACATTCACACTCCTGCATCTCAACAAGTCCAAAGAGGAAGAACGAAGCCTACTGCAAAGTCTCACCACCTACCAAAGGAAAGTCACGTCCGGGCGTGACTCTAAGAAGTCGCCGAGTCACGCCCATCACTCTTACCTGATTCCTCTTCCTTGTCATCCATTAGTTCCTTCTCTTTGTCTCGGTTGTCATCCTCCATTGCTCTATCGATACGAGACTGTGCGATTGCTTCCTTGGCTTCATCCAACTTGGTGTAAACAATCCCCTCCTTCTCACAAATCCGTTGAACCTCATCTGTCTTCAGATTCCTTAGATGCTTCCTGACATCCTTCAAAAGAGCTTCCTGTTGACTAACGAAGATAACAGACGTTGCTGTCCCTTTCCCCCTATCCTTCCTAATGGACATTCCCACTGCGTCATCCATTCTTGACTTAAGATTCGTCCCAGGCTCCCATTTTCTTACCGGTTTCCAATCTTGTCATCGTCTCCTTCAATTTCTCCACTTCCTCTTCCGACTCCCTTCGAGCATTAGCTTCCCTGAGCCTCATCTCCTTCAATAGCTCCACTTCTCGCTAGTGTCTCTCTACCATTTCCTTAAGCTACATGTTGACCCTTCCTGTCTTACTCGGAGTAGCAACCAGTGTGACGCGTTGTCTTACCCTAGCCTCCGTTGCAGGAGTTTGACCAATAGCCACACTGCCTCACTTGTTACTTGGACGCATAGCCTCATTCCTCTATACTTCCACATTGGCCTCCACTACCTCGCACTGTTTCTGCAGAGCAAAGATAACCTCCTCCATCGTGGTCAGCATCTTATCAATCGTGGTCGTGGCCTCTGCTTGTTCCCTCCTTAAACGTACTATCTCCTTGGCTTCACTCGCTGCCCTGGTCACTGTGGCGGACGTGCTAGTAACCTCTTGCGCTCGTTTAAAAGCTTTGACCTGTGATCTCAATCTGACAACCTCCGACTCGTCTTCAACCTTCTTTCCTCCGGTTTCGACATTCGACTGCTGTCGACATGGTGATTCGACCTGCACCTTCAATTTTGCCAGTTTTTCAACATCTCCTGCTTTCTTTCCATCAATAGCTTCTCGTACCACGTCTAGCTTCGCTGTCATCTCCTTGTGCATTTGTCCCTGCAATTCTTCCCGATCCGTCTTCTCCCTCATCCTCCGTTCCTCCTTTCCCTGTTCCTTTTTCCTGCGATCTTCTTCTTCCTTCCTTGTACGCTCCCTAACTTCATCGACCTCGTGCTTACTATGAATTTTACTGTCAGTCTCTTCGAGCGTACTAACACGCTTGCCTAACCAGCTACCGCTACCTCCATTGTTGTAGTATCCGGAGTAATATGGAGCCGTCGTTCCCACGTTGGAGTTTGTCGTAGGTGGAACTGTCAGCAGTGACTGCATTGGTACTATCGTCGTACTCGCAGCACTTTGACCACCATTAAACCTCCTATCCGGTAACGGACAGTACATTGAGATGTGTCCTGGTTGGCTGCAGTTGTAACATGATTGAACAACCAGTAGATTGGAGTTGTCGTTAGACACCATGACGACCTTCAATCGAAGCCACTCAAGAATAGTATCACTTCTATGTCGGTTACTCCGCGTAAAAGAGTATGCCAGCTATGGACAACCAGATGGTGATAACAGATACTCACCGTACCAAACCCACAATCATGAAACTCAACACAAAACCAGATGTCAAACCTCGATTCAGAAAGTGAAGGCAAAGAGGGGGAAGAGAGAGAGGAAGAAGAAGACGAAAAGAAGAGAACACGCCAGAGTTACCGAACGCGACTTGATTAGGATAAACATGAAGCACAAAAAACGGAAGATGAGCTCCCTTTAGGCGGAAGTGACCCGACCGGTTTCGCCTGACCGCCCGCCAGGACTCATCAGGGGTCATTAAGTCGGCTTGATGAGCTCTGACTATCTACAGTATTAATAGTTGGGAAGAAAAACTTCAGCCGACTTCAACACAAGTTGACCAACCCTTCACATCGTCAACTTGAAGTCATAGCCACTTCATCAGCCATATGCCCTCAGATTGAATCGCACAACTATCGGACATCCCTTACACCCAGCCGGTAATCCCAAGGTACCATACACCACAATCGAGCCAGTGGTACCGGGTTCAAAGCCCCGCAGACCTGCCAAGAACCAACAAGCCCTTATAAAATCCCAAATACTTCCGGACTCCTTACAGCCTACTGCCCCAAGCAAAAACCTGGGAGGCCTTCATGCAGAAACCATCAATCCAAATACCTAAGCCTTATCCGATATCGGCCAAAAAAGAGTAGGCCCAAACTACCCTTAATATTCCATCGTAGCCCCCTAGTTATGAGCCGAATTACTTACCCCCTAACACGAGAGTAACACGACCCCTAGCTCGATCCCAACAGTCGGCCCCATCCTGTGAGAGTGTGGCCTACCGATCCTTTAGCGTTTCGGGACTTCAAGCTAGAGGGGTCAGACAAGTTACCACACATATAACTGGTTCGTGGCCGCCATCATCATCATCATCATCATCGTCCTCGTCATTGCCGCCATTGCTGACCTCATCATTAGTTCGCTCATTTAATCTGGCGACCTCGTCGTTCCACCGGGGGAATGATCGAGAAGACCCTTTAGGGGTTGATTGAAGACCTTCCTCGACTAGGAGGAAGGACCTTGATTGCTCCAGGCCGACCGGGAGTGAGGTATTGTCAATCTCACTCCCTCTTACTAATTCCCTCCCTTCCTCCTGCCGATCTCTCCCAAAGTTCTCACGTTTTTCCTCTTCTTCCATCTCCTCTTAATTCTCCTTTTTCTCCTCTCCCATCTCACCCAATTGGTCGCATCATCTAAAATTCCTAATGCGTGTGACACACATATCCTCTTTTTTTGTTTGTTTGACAATGCCGTCCATCCCGCGGTGCGGAACGTCAACGTGATTCGATAGGATTAATCTTCGTTCTCTCTTCTTCCAACGCTGTGAACATAATTAATTCCGACATTTTTGTTCAAAAGTTACTTGAAATTCTTTATTATATCAATTTTTTTCGTAAATTAGTTTAAAATTTGACTTTATTTCAGATTCGTGAAATACACTTCAAAATTTACTAAATTTAATCCTTCTGATATCCACTCTACTTCTACTTTATATCCCTCGTAAAATTCCAAAATTCTGCAATTCTTTTGATATTCTTTTGAAATTCATTTAAAAATTCTTTGAAATTCTTTTTAATTTTACAACATGTTGATACAATTTGTTAATTTCATCTAAATAATTTTAAAATTCCTCCCAATTCAATTTACTTGACTGTCGTTAAATTCTTTCTGCCATTTCATCGTAAATTCTTCAATTAGGAATTAGTTTTCTATTTTTATTTCAAATCACCTTCCAAATTCTCTTAATTCCAGAGATACGTTAAGGAATTTTCCATTTTAATTCAAAATCCTCGTCTGTACTCATCTCTACATTTTTTATCATATCCTCGAACTTTCAGAAATTTTTACGAATATTTTTGAAACTCCTTGAATTTTGCTTCAATTTTTTTAAAATTATGAATTTACGTCCAAATAATTTCGGAATTTTAGTTTGACTTTGTGATTGTCTTATGCATGCTTTCCTTTATGCCCCACGCTGTTCTGTGAAAATCTCCTCTCATTTCTTGCTCGAATTGGGAATTTTCTTATTTCTCCCTTAACCTGACTCTGATTTTTTTTTCATTCAACTTCATAAATTTGTTGGACTCCACTTCTATGCGCCTTTGTTTCCCATTCCCATACCCCCCTCTCTGCGTGTCACCCTGGCTCCCCGTGACACGCAACAACGCGGACTCCAAAATAGTGCCCGAGATGCCCGCGCCACGCACCGGCTCGCTCGCTTTGACGCGCCGATCGCTGCCATTGAGCGCCCCCCCCGCCCCAGTTTCCCCTCTTCATCTTCTTCATCCCCTGACTCTATGCAAAGTGTTGAGTTCGCAAGTCCCTCCCGCTCCATCACCGAAGGCCTTGTGTTCCCAGCTCGTGACACCATGCCTGACTCGACGGAGATTCCCACCCCTGCGGGCCGCGACCGCCAGTTCGGGCCCCGCTACCTAGTCAGACCTTGTACTAGCCCTCCTCGAGTACATCCAGACCACATTCGAGGCCAAATTCACGACCATGCAAACCAACTTTGATACTTTGTTGGACCGGATGTCACAAATGGAGTCATGAGCGACCACACCTCCCTTCTCTCTCCCCCCCCTCCTCTTCCCACATACATGTTCCTAGTGGATCACACCTCCCCTCTTCCCAACTTGGTATCCCGCAGTCCCCCCCCCCCCCCCCGTCATCAGTGTCTTTGTCAACTTCCTCTCCTTCTTCGGCTGGCGTCATCTACACTCTTGTCTCTTCCACGGGTGGTATGCCTTCTCCACAAACCCACCCTTCTTCTGCAGCCATCCCTTCCTCCCAAGTGTCCACCTCCACACTTTCCTCCTCAGGACCCATGGCATCATGTCCCGCCACCTCCTCAATTTTAGTTTCCACGGCACCTACCTCACCACCCCCCACTTCTTTACCTTCCCCCCCACCCCCTATGACACCCAAAACACAGAATGTTGAGCTCCAAAACCAAGTTGCCATGGCCCACGACCACATCCGTTGGCTCCAAGGAGGTCAACCCTTGCCTCCCCACCTTGCGGCATAGCCTCCTGCCCCTTTCATCTACCGGTAGCATCAGACACACGCCATTGCGATGCACTTTACTCTTCCTCCACCGGCCACCACGATGTCTCACGGCCCTTTGCCTCAACTTCCTGCCTTGTCTAGTGCCCCTGTGGGTGCCCCTAGTTCCGCTGCCCTCTTATCACAGTGTGCCCTCCCCCTCCCTCCTCATTATGAGCCGCCGCCCTATGTACCTCGGTACCGCCCTGACAGACTCCCCCAGTTCGATGGCAAGGCCTCTGAACTCCAGGGCTGGATCACCACAGCCGAGGAGCAACTTCGGTACCATGGTGTAAACATGGACTTGTGGCCTACGGAGATGTCAGCCTGCTTCACAGCTCGAGCGACTTCCACTTAGCGCGACTTTCTCACCCTTCGTGCTTAGCAAGGCGTTCAGACGAGTATGACGTACGCGGAGTTTCGTGATTTTCTCTAGCAGTACTTCTCTCGCCCGACGCCTACACGTGACCTGATCACACGGGTTGCTGAGATCAGATGGTTTGGTGGCAACAATGCCTTAGAGTCGTACATCACGACAGTCCACCGCGTTCGTGTGCAGATTCCCTCCTCCCTCATAGCCGATGATGCTATGGTCCAGCATTCTGTGTCGGGTTACCCCAACCCTTCCAGCTTCAAGTGCTGGCATACACAGTCCACACCCTTCCCGATACCTTCAACATTGCCAGGGCCATCGAACTCACCTATGCACCTCTTGTGGGCTCCACATCTGAGCCTGGTGCTGCACCTCCTGCTGCCATGTCTGCCCCTGGTACATCTCGCCCCCGACAGTCGTCCATGTCTCGCCACGGCCCCCGGCGAGTTCCTGGACGTACCTTCTTCCGCCGTGTCCAGACTATGCTCCGCGAGTCGTCGAGCACTGAGGAGGGTACTGGTTCGGAGGGATCCCATAGTGACCCGGACCAGGGACATGACCCCAGTCTCCTGTGGATGGTGACGATCCCGACCAGGACGAGCACCTCGCCCGCGCCTTCTCTGCTTTCCTCAGACAACGCTAGTCCTCCTTATCGAGGACCCGCTCATCGGCCACACAACAACCCCTCCATTCGGGCTACGTTTTTCCCCGGGCTCGATTGCCTATTGCAGAGAGTGAGGACTTTCGTACACAAGGTATATGTACCCGTTGTCGCCTACCTGGTCACACTCCGTCCACCCGCCCCTACGTTGACACCCTCCAACGTCACTTTGCTCAGTAGTCCCGCCCTCAGCCTCATCCCCCCGTTTTGGCCTCCAGTGCCGTAGCCACCTAGCGGCGATCTCCCGTCCCCCTGATCCTCCTACAGTAGCAGGCGTACCCGTTTGCGATTCTACCTTTCTGTCGCTTGCTACTCTTTCTGAGGACTCGGACCTGACCTCATCGTTGGTCGATCCTAACGACGCTGGTCCACCCTCCCCTTCTTCGCCTAGCATCTCTCGTGATCCTCCTCCTCCTCGTCCTCCTACTAGGCGTGCTTTACGCACGGCCCGTTGCAGTGCTTCCCTTATTGCAGCCGAGGATATCATCGACTTCCTGGACCTCGAGTGTGTTAAGGTCCACCAGGAACGTCTCCGCCTCAGACAGCATACCCTATATGCGATGTCTTAGCGCCTATACAATCCCGATCGCACCTTATCGATTATTCCAGTGCGCCTCGGGACCTCTACTAGAGTGTATCGCGCACTATGGGACTCTGACTCTACGAGCGACTTCATTCATCCATCTCTCTATACACCCCCCTACCCTTCCATTGTCACTGTTACGCTTGACGACAATCAAGCCAAATCCTTGGTCGACTGTGTGGTGCCTGATCTCCCATTCTCCTTTCCCTTGCGGATGCCACATAGCCTTCGCAAGGCCCCTCGGTTCCATAACTAGTGGACTTTCGAC